AACGTATTGTTGTAATTTATTTATGTTAAATTTGAGTAATTGTATGGAACAAATTCATTGGCCACTGCTGGCTACGTTGATGCATGTGTGCTCTTCAAATTCGCCCTTAACAGCTATATAATTATTTGAATGACGTGGTATCAATAGAAACTTTAAAAGATTACATTTTAGTAATAACAAAATATATTTTCCCTGGACTTAATTTTGGGCCATTTTTACCATGTTATTGTTTTTTTCTGAGCATATTCAAGATTCAAGATTAAAAAAACTTTATTATCTACAACCAAACCACAATTAATCCACGACAACACCTCTAAAATAAATAATAGCAAACCTAAGATACAAGATCCTAAAACTGCTTGGCCTTATTTAGTCTGTGGGTACCCAATAATTTTAGATGCCCGCATGATTACTCTTGGTAATATTAAAATACTTAGGCCTAGATCATTTTGAATTATAACATTTTAAATGAATTCATTTTGTGTGTGGGCATTTTTGTAACTTTCAGAGGAATTTTTCATGAACCCCATATATGCATATTTGTATAACCCTCATGTTTAATTCTGTCTCTTCTCTCTCTCCCTCCCCAGTTCCAACCTATTTGCCCTTTGTGATTGTGGTGAGCGCGTTCCTGTCGTTCGTTCTGGTTGGCACGGTTGTATCTATCTGCTGCTGTCAGTGTGTGAAACCCAAAGCGAGCGACCGGCCAGCGGCGCCATCCGCTACTCAGACCAGCCTTTTGGAGTCTGGAGGGCCCTCTGTTGACAGCTCTACGGGTACCCAATAATTTTAGATGCCCGCATGATTACTCTTGGTAATATTAAAATACTTAGGCCTAGATCATTTTGAATTATAACATTTTAAATGAATTCATTTTGTGTGTGGGCATTTTTGTAACTTTCAGAGGAATTTTTCATGAACCCCATATATGCATATTTGTATAACCCTCATGTTTAATTCTGTCTCTTCTCTCTCTCCCTCCCCAGTTCCAACCTATTTGCCCTTTGTGATTGTGGTGAGCGCGTTCCTGTCGTTCGTTCTGGTTGGCACGGTTGTATCTATCTGCTGCTGTCAGTGTGTGAAACCCAAAGCGAGCGACCGGCCAGCGGCGCCATCCGCTACTCAGACCAGCCTTTTGGAGTCTGGAGGGCCCTCTGTGGACAGCTCTACCCCGTCCCGCACCTCCACTTCAGGCTCGTCCATGACAAATGCTCGCCCTCCACCATCCGAGCTCAGCGTGAACCTCTACGGCCCGATGGGAAACGCATTCCCACCCTCTCAGTCCCAGCAGTATGTTCCTCCACTCCCACAGGGGGCGCCACAGTTCTACCAGCCCTACATGAATTACACTCTCCCCCCAGAACGCCGCATGCTGATGGCCCCTGCGTTCCTGGATGCCCGTCCTGCGTTTGGGCAGGTGCACGGGCAGCCTTTTCCTCAGGCCCCCATGCACACGGAGCCCATTTATCCCCCTGTCACTATCTGATAATGCTTATAAAACTACGAACGGACTATAAAACTGTGTGAGACTACACAAGGAGTAGGAATGTTTCAGGGATACCTTGGGTAGCCTCCACAAACATGTTCTGTATCCACAAACACAATTACGACTGATATAATGTTGGTCATGGTTGGTACCTTTTTATGATGTCTTAATACTTCTCATAGGAGTGTGTTTGCATGAACACTTGATTGTTGCTCAGCAGTCACTGATTATATTGTTATTTATAACAGATTAGAGAATACATTTATTTTCATAGGCAATTTGTTTGACTCTCCTCATTCTTATACAAAAAATATGAATATTTAATTCATATTTAAGACACGTTTATGAAACTACACTCTTCAAAATAAAGCACCCAAAAGGGGGTTTTCACAACAATGCCATAGAATTTTGGGTTCACAGATGAACATTTCGGTGAATAGTTCTTTAAATAACCACTTCTTCTTACTGCAAAGAATATTTTAACAATCTAAAGAACCTTTTCGACTGCAAAGAATGTGCATTGGATGTGAATGAAACCATCAATGCCAATAAAGAACCTTTATTTTTAAGAATGTAGGACTCATGGAAAAACTCAAGCAGCATGTGTTTAATTAGCTGGAACTAGTTTAATTTACTGATGACTTGAGGGTGAGTAATTTATGGGCTAATTTTCATTTTTGGGTGAACTAACCCTTTTAAGTGGCTATATTTTTCTTAAACTGAAGTTCTAGATCTTCTAGCCATCTGAACAGTAAGTGTCTCTTTGTCCTGCAAAGAGCTTTGGGATTTCCTTTATGGTACTTTGTGATTGTAAAGCTCTCCAGCCGTTACAGCTGTAACTTACAGCTTGTGTGTGTGGCTGAGTGGGTTTTGTGTGTTTGTGTGTGGAAACGGCAAGAGGGCAGAGGACAAAAGACGCAGATCTCCTCACGCCCCTGAGATTAGTGGGATTAGTGCAGGTAAAGAGGGGTGTGTGAGTGAGATTAGGCTCTGGATGGCCCAGCTGGAGATTAAGCAGATGCGTATGAGTTCATTAACGAGCTGCAGACGAGTCTACTGTGTTTCAGCCCAAATCCTGTTATGATGAAAAACGTGTAATGTGAAGCTAAAGACACGTGAATAAATACAGCCATGCAGCCAAATAAATCTGCTCAGGTACAACTGTAAATAAAACAATCTGCTTTTCTTCACTCACACACAAAGTTTTTTTTTTACTTGAAATGCTAAAAAGAGAAAAGTAAAACACACAAAGCTCCTGAGATATATACTGTTTTAGTTTCGCATTCACTCTGATCAAAAAAAATTCTTAATGTAAATATAATATGTGACCCTGCACCACACAATCAGTCTTAAGTAGCATGGGTTTATTTGTAGCAATAGCCAAAATACATTGTATGGGTCAAAATTATCGCTTTTTCTTTTATGCCAAAAATCATTAGGATATTAAGTAAAGATCATGTTCCATGAAGATATTTTGTAAATTTCCAACCGTAAATATATTAAAACTTAATTTTTGATTAGTAATATGTATTGCTAAGGGCTTCGTTTGGACAGCTTTAAAGGCAATATTCTCAATATTTTGATTTTTTTTGTGTGTGTTTGTGTGTGGAAACGGCAAGAGGGCAGAGGACAAAAGACGCAGATCTCCTCACGCCCCTGAGATTAGTGGGATTAGTGCAGGTAAAGAGGGGTGTGTGAGTGAGATTAGGCTCTGGATGGCCCAGCTGGAGATTAAGCAGATGCGTATGAGTTCATTAACGAGCTGCAGACGAGTCTACTGTGTTTCAGCCCAAATCCTGTTATGATGAAAAACGTGTAATGTGAAGCTAAAGACACGTGAATAAATACAGCCATGCAGCCAAATAAATCTGCTCAGGTACAACTGTAAATAAAACAATCTGCTTTTCTTCACTCACACACAAAGTTTTTTTTTTACTTGAAATGCTAAAAAGAGAAAAGTAAAACACACAAAGCTCCTGAGATATATACTGTTTTAGTTTCGCATTCACTCTGATCAAAAAAAATTCTTAATGTAAATATAATATGTGACCCTGCACCACACAATCAGTCTTAAGTAGCATGGGTTTATTTGTAGCAATAGCCAAAATACATTGTATGGGTCAAAATTATCGCTTTTTCTTTTATGCCAAAAATCATTAGGATATTAAGTAAAGATCATGTTCCATGAAGATATTTTGTAAATTTCCAACCGTAAATATATTAAAACTTAATTTTTGATTAGTAATATGTATTGCTAAGGGCTTCGTTTGGACAGCTTTAAAGGCAATTTTCTCAATATTTTGATTTTTTTTGCACCCTCAGATTTCAGATATTCAAATAGTTGTATTTCGGCCAAATGTTGTCCTATCCTAACAAACCATACATCAATGGAAAGCTTATTTATTCAGCTTTCAGATGCTGTATAAATCTCAATTTCGAAAAAAATTGACCCTTATGACTGGTTTTGTGGTCCAGGGTCACATATGTAGCCTAATATACTGTAAAACTCATTTAAATTAAGGAAACCGACTGGCTCAATTCATTTAAGTTTAGAAACCAGAAGTTATGAGTAATTTGAATTTATCTGAGTTCACTATACAAAGAATATTTCCTAATATACAATCAAATATGCACAATTCAAATATTTTGTGTATTGATTAGGTCCCTCATATTCTGATGCATTAACTCAACCCTCATATAGTTTTAGGGCACATGGTAATATGTCAAGTCAGCTAGCTATAATGTGCATAGGCCTATGTTAATGTTCCAGGAAAAAAAAAGTTGCATCAACAAACCCCCAAAAAGTCAGACATAACAGAAGCACTTTTAAATCCTATCATAAAGGAACATTAAACACTAACAGATCTCCCCATAAATACATACCAAAACACATAAAATAACATCTGATTTCAACATCTACTCTACTTACAGAGACTGCAGCAAAGCATGCTGGGAACTAGAAATCAGCTCTAACCCATTCTATTTGAGCTTCACTAATATAATCAGTTTTTGAATTCACTTTCAGTAATGCTTGAGTGAAAATAATTATTTTAATAAATTTCAGTATGTTTTTTTTTTTTATAAGAGTAGACTCTGATTCTGTATGATTTTCGATCAAAAGTTATCGTGATTTTACTTTTTTTTTTTTTGCATATTTATTATAATTATTTCAATAAATCTACAATTTAAGTCAGCCAGTGAGCCCCTTAAGTTTACTAAGGCCTTGCTCAATGGTTGAGAACCAATGTTATGGTATAAAGTAGAAAGTGCTTTTGTGTGTTTGTGTTTAAATTTCAACTTAAGTGTTGTTGAAAAACGTGCCACAAATGCTATCAATGGAGTGTAATTTGTATTGTCACCTTTAACACTTTCCCGGAGTGTACATACCGCCCCCTCAGGATCAAGAGTGCAGAGTGCAAAAAGAATGCAGAACCTCTTGCTGGTTAAGAGATTATCCAAAAAAAAAAAGAATGATTATTGCATTGTTAGGGGTCATGGGTGAAAGGTCAAATTCCAGATACATATCAAGCCAATCCCAGACAGAGTGACAAAGAGAAAGCGAATCAATCAGATGACATAACCAACCGAAAGGAATTGTATTATTCTACCATTTCATTTTGACAAAAGTTACACAAGTTTACACCTTATTAGTTCACAGGTTTTAATTATTAAAAAACGGACTCTCACAAAAGATGAGACATAAACACAATGATTCAATACTTTAGATTCTAACAAGCTCTTAATGGCCCTTGGGTCAAATTCCAAAACACAAATTTGTGCTCAACAGCTCATTCGCTCAAATTGAATGATAGTTCTATAAGAACTCAAGGTTTAGAATTCTCATTCAACTTGTGTTCCATAATTACTCGACTACTAAAGGGCTGTTCACACATGCTTTTGCATTTAGTCTGCATTAATGGTTGGTCTCTGTATCTAGAGTATTTGTTTCGATGGCCGTCTTTTCAGCGTCTCCTGCCATTAGCACCACGTTTTTAAAGACGCTTCAAGTTAAAAACTCGTTCTTATCCATTTCAATGCTCTCCATCTCCATCTTGTGTGAACGGCCCTCAAGACATTCTAGAACACTGACATGGTCTGAGACAGTCCATGGTTACATAATACAAGAGAAACATTGTTATCAAACATTAAAAGACATAGGCAAAATCATACCATTATTAATTAATTCAAATGATTAAAGATCAGTTGAAGCGTTAACTGAATACCGTACAAACGGCTCTATTGACTAAAGCCACTTTGGAGAATTTAGTTTGAACTAATGCACTAGAATTAAACCCCACACAGAATAGTACACTTCAATATTTCGAAACCAGCATCCATTTCCACTACGGACTAAATACAGACACAGTACAAACACAATATCAAGGTTTCACTTATATTAAAATGAAAGGAAAAACTGAGACTTCATGTCCACTGAAACAGGAAGACAGGTTAACTACAGGATCACTATAAGAGGTCAGGTTATCAGACTGCAGATGGTCCATTCTTTCAGGACTACTGCGGGTGTATAGATGAGCAGTGAGTGTGTGACATCATGGCAACTGTCAGTGTGTGTATGTGTGGAAATGTGCATGCATGAGAGCGTAAGTAAATTGTTTTCCGTTGGGGTTATGTGTGTTAGTCAGGCTTTCTCTGAGGTTGTTAGTAGCTGTGCATGTTACTCGTCGGGTTTTCTCTTGGGTTTTTTAGGGTTGCGTGAGCGACTTTTGGCTTTGCAGAGAGGACAGATCGGTGCGTTCCGATGGATTTGCTGGTGGCAGGACAGACAAGCCTGGAGACAGACAACAAATGAAATCAATATACCACCTCTTTTACTTTATACATACTGTTTCAGAGATCTGATCATAAAATGCATTAAACCCTGTGTGCGCAAATCTATATTTACAACCAGACAATCATGTGCATGTCTGTATACATATCTAGGTATGTCGTATACATACTGTATACGTTTAGAAATGTAGCAGAGTCTAGTGTCTTTCCACAGTGAGCAGGTACAAAAGTTTGAGGTCAGTAACATTTTGATATTTTATTCAGCAAAGACGCATTCAATTGATTAAAAGTGACAGTAAAGACATTTAGAATGTTACCAAAGATTTCTATTTCAAATATAATCTGTCCTTCTCTATTTGTCAAAAAATCCTGACAAAAATGTATCACAATATTAATGTTTATTGAACACCAAATAAGCATATTAGAAAGATTTCTGAAGGATCATGTGACACAAGTGAAAATTACGCTTTGCCACCCCAGGAATAAATTAAATTGTAAAATATTTTTTATTGTAATAGTATTTCACGATTTTACTGGTTTACTGTAATTTTTATCAAATAAATGCAGCCTTGGTGAGACTTCTTTCGAAAGCATTTTAAAAAATCCTACTGACCACAAACTTTTGAATGGTAATGTACATGTAAACCAGTTTTAATTAGAAACAAAATAGCATGGTAGCAGTTCATTCCCCAGCTCATTGAGTATAGTTTAAAAAGTTACTCGGACGTTAATTCAGTTCCAGTGGATTTCAATGAAGGCATCTTTAGACTGAATGAAACTGATGACAGTCTGTTACACAAATTAAAAAGAACCAGTTCCTTCCATTCTTTCGTGAATCAGACTACAGTGGAACAACAAAGACAATGCGACAGAAAGTTGTGTTGCTTGCTTTATTCTCAGTTCATTTTGTGATACCTGGACCATCTGCCTCATAACCTTCAGTTCAGAATGCAAGCTCACAACTAAGGTAAAATATGTGTAGATACTATCAAATAAGCTAAATATATTTCTCCACATTATTGCTGATGCGTGTGTACACAGATACAGCCGCAGTAATGTAAAAGTCTATTCACCTTCATAGGTGGCGGCTGCTGGCGGAACGTCGCTGTCTGTCTGACATCCTGTTTCCGTGCAGCTTGAAGCTGCTGGGCTGCAGCCGCCGCTGCCGCTAAGGATTCTGGGATAGGAGGCTCCTGAGGTTCTGTGTGCCACTCAGCCTTTTGCTTTTCAAAGTAGCTGAAAGGAGATGAAGAGCACACAAACAAACAGTAAGCAAGTTAGCCTTCCCATACACAATTACACACTCTCGGTCTCGCAAATTCTCTGACTCAGCTTTAGGTATTACTCTCTTGCAAACACACACTCCTATACTGCGGTGACTCATTTTGAGGAGTTCCCCAGTCAAACACAACCACACACACACACACACACACACACACACACACACACACACACACACACACACACACACACACACACACTCAGGAACAGTGTTACTAACTCCAATGAGAGCTTCTCCTCTTCCTGGCTGAGGTCGGGAAGTCTCTGTAAGCCGAGGGTCATTCTCAGGGCATCCACGTGTTCTTTCAGTGGCTTGTAGTCATCGTGGAGACGTCTGGTTGACTCCAGCAGCTTGTTCAAGTCACTTTCAGACTGTTTGATAGTGTTTTCCATCTGGGAGAAGAAATACAGCCACTCCATAAATCACAATGGTGTGAACCTAATGGTTAGACATCTGACCCAACACAGAGGTTACTGGACCAGATCCTTGACATCACAGAAAAAAAAGTGCTAATAGAGCTTATAAAACCTATATACTACCATTTAACCATTTTCCATTTTTCAAAGAAGCTATTTGAGCACATAGTAATATTGTATTACTGAAAATATGGTAAAAACAGTAGTATTGTGAAATATTATTACAATTTAAAATAACTGTTTTCTATTTTAATATATTTCAAACTGTAATTTATTAATTTGATGGCAAAGATAAATGAATTTTACTCTAGCCTTCAGCGTCACATGACCTTTCAGAAATCATTCTAATATACTTAAGGAACATTTCTTATTATTGTCAATGTTAAAAACAGTTGAGCTGCTTAATATTTTTTTTAGAACGTTTGATCATTTTAATGCATCCGTGCTGAATAAAATGAAATTATTTAAAAAAAATTCTTACTGAACCGAAACTTTTGAATGGTAGTTTATTACCTTTGAATATGCGCATTAACTGTCACCGTCCCACCTGTGGGACGCTTGGCACTCTTTTTTTTGTTGTCCTTTTTCTCTATCAAATCTTTTAGTAATCATCATAAATCATATATCATTTGAAAGCTTAGAAGCCCAAGATTCATCCTGCGGAAACCATTTTGAAATCGGACATTGCGTTACCATGGAAATGGTACTTTAAAATCTTTTGGCGGTCTCCTCCCCCTTAGTGGGCGGTGTCAAGTGTCATATTACAAAATGCATTACGCTCTTTTACAATCAAAACTTTTTATAATTTTGACAAAAAACATATCATTGGAAAGGTCTGAGTATCAGGATTCCATATTTGGTGGTTATTATGAGATAGAAGTAATATTGACAGATAAATCTAGACATTTGTGACAGAAAAAAAATTCCACTTTTGCGATAATCTGCTGATTTTCTTCTTTAAAAAGAGACCAAACTTATGTCTGTATTCCAAAGTGTTCATAAATTACAACAATTTAAGTGTGGATAGTGCACCTGCATGCCTATTTTAAAAAAATGGGGGGTGACAGTTAAGGGGTTTTAAGTCATAGTCCGTGTAAATGTGAAGAATATATTTTTACTTTATTGACTGCACAATAAATATGATAAATAGTGCAGTGCAATGTGTAATGTTTTTTGCTTATTTACCACATTGATATCAGCATGTATGAGACGCAGCTCCTCTACATGAGCCATTTTCTCCTGCAGCAGAAGATCCATTTCCTGTTTGTACTCTCTCAGGTGCTTCTCCTCTGACTCCAGAGCTTCAAACTCACTCCTCAGTCGAGATTTGATCTTCTCCATCTGAATTGTCTTATTCCTGCAAAACCACACACAACACAGTAAACATCCAGCCAATGCATGACAGCATATGACAATGCAATGCAAATGCAAAGACTTCTGATCTGGTGCATGTAAACCACACACAACACAGTAAACATCCAGCCAATGCATGACAGCATATGACAATTAAAATGCAAATGCAAAGACTTCTGATCTGGTGCATGAGGTTTTAAACGAATAAGACATCTATTATGCGGTTTCAGAGATGCGATCACAAAACGCATAAGACCCCGTGTGTGCAAAGCTATATTTACAACAACCAGACAATCGTGTGTATGTCTGAGCTTTTTATAAATGATTAAGAACCGTTCTGCAGGAAATGAACCGTTTGCTCTGCAGTTTCGTGTCTAACCACAACAGGATGCTTTTCACACTCATCCTCATCAAAAATAACGGTTAATGCAGAATTAGTGTGATATGTTTTCAGATTTAGTGCAAAGCTGTGTGTTTTTATAGTTTAAGCGGTTTGCTTTAGCACCATGACCGATACAAAGAAAATGTCATGATTTTTTTCATGTAGACTATACATGCAATTCATGCATTGCTTATGAAATGAAATGATTACGGGGAAACACGCCGGGGTTTTGCAATATAGGTTGAACTGGCCAGATGTTGAAGAAAGGCTAGCGTGTCTGCTTTGGGATCAATCTCAGCTTTTCTTACCTTATTTCTTTGATGTTTTCTAGCTTGCACATTATCTCTTGTTCGTCCGCCATGGTGGACTATGAAATTGTGAGACTTCTGTGGGAATAAGAAAGGAGATAAAGATTGTAGCGGATATACCTCTCATAAGAAAGACAATAGAAATGCTAACCAGCTGAGGTCAACAGTCAGCAACACGGCGCTGACTACATTTCCCACAATCCTCGGCGAGGCTTAAAGGGAGAGTGTTCAATTAAAAATACCCAAGCGTTTGTCGGACGTTTATGATATTTCTTATAGGAAATATTTGGGAAACTATTGAAAAATGTAGCCATCTAAAATACCACCTACATTTTAGTGACATCTGGTAGAGGCAAAGTGCTACATTTAAGCATCTTCATATTTTTAAAAGTATGAAATAAAAACAGTCAGTAATGTGGTTTATTACGACTTTATTAGAAAACAAAGAAAAACATGTCCAGTAAAACAGGAAACAACTACATTGCCAGTTGCTATCTGAACTTATTCACATGACAGCAGCAATCTCACTTGTCTCAAGTAACTATTTCAATATACATTTGATATATTGAATTCCATATGCATGTACTGTGGTATTTACACGATACTCCATAGTACTTAACAGAATATAATATGTCCAAAACAGTGGTTATTTATTCATACATAAGTGCTTACGCTGATCAGAAATGTCTTTGTATACTCAAGCTGCACTTCAAGACATGATTGAACTTAATAAAGAACCATAGGGTGCGTTTGAAGCTTTGGTTTCGATTGCGTTTAGTTAAACGCTCACTTCCCCTCTGTAATTTAGCTACCTCATTATCCAGTAAGTAAACTGATTTCTAGAAAGCAAATGATTCAGTTCGCGACTGAACCGTTCGATCGATTCAGACTGAATCGCGAAGCGCGTTTGAGAGATTCATCGAAAAGAATCGACTCAAACGAATGATTAATTCGCGAATCAGGCATCGCCGCTTCTGATTCAAAACAGGCAGTCAACAGAAAATACAAGGCACGAGGCTTGAAAGCTGTTACTGTCAGGGAAATGCATCGTTAAACAGACCTTCGCTACTGAAAAGCGACATGACCCTCGACGCTACCAATAATTATAGTTGAACTAACAGTTTAAGCAGTCGAGGCATTGTTCAAAGGTTGATACTTCGTTGCAAAGGATGCCATGATAATAACAACAACTGCTGAATATTGTATCAACCTTCTGAACAGTAAAGTTGGGAGTGTGGCGGTCATATCGCACAGCGCATGTATTTTTAACCCTCGGTTGCTGCATTACCGGAGTCCCGTCCACCCACGTGCTTCAAAACGCGGAGACGGAGGCAGCAAAAACGCACTTTCTGCGGCTCCGAGCGCAGCGACAGGGGGCGTCCGACGCGTTGCCGAAGCGCAGGCGGTGGGTGCAGTCGGGGCCGCTGTAGGGAGGGAGGGAAGTGAGGAAAGGGAGGGCGAGAGGAGAAGGAGGGATGGAGATGGATGATAGATGCTTATGTAGTGCGTCCCGTACGTTCGCCGTTATGCTCGGCCGCAGACAAACTTGCATCCTCCCGTGACTTTCTTTCTTTCTTTCCCCTGCTGCTCCACCCATGAAGCAGGACGCAGGGCGAATGCGTGCCAGTGTTCCGGAGCGCGTCGTGATCGCTTGTTTATCCGTCTGATAAATGGTTTTGGAGCTCGCCGCGCCCGCCGGTGCAGGCCCTGCGCTCCAGCGCTGCATCCCGCACATCCAGCGGGTTTTCCGGGTCAGAGTGAGCTGCAGCACCGCCGAGTCCAGCTGCGAGAGCCCCAACACCGGCTCCAGTATCATCGTAAACATCGAGGACGGCAAGGAAGAAGATTGCACTAAAGCTAAAGTGAGTATGTGCGTGAGAGAGAGCGCGTGTGTCGCAGGAGAGCTGTGCGAGCACGACCGACATTCGCCATTCAAGCTCTTTATTTCATGACATTTTCGGGTCTATTTTTACTTTCACGGGCCAAATGAGGAACTTTGGTTATTGCCTCTGTGATTCTGTAAAATACATCCCATGTAAATGTTTCAGGCGAGGCGAAATGCTCTTTAAATTACGCGCAGAATTGATGCTCACGACTCGCGTTTACAGAGATTTACCGAGAGCAGTTTGACATACGCTCGTTGACTTTTGAACCTTTCATAGACGGTAGTTTTTATTTTTATTTTAAGATAATCAAATGTATTACTTTATCTTTAAACCTGACCCTCGCACAAACCTGTTGACTTTATAAGAGCTGAAGCAAAACATGATTTATGAGCCGTTCATATAGCGCAAGTCTTTGATATTTGTCATTATATTTTCAAACATTTGACCATCACAAGTCTAGCCAGATTTGTACACACACATGCATCCTTGAAAATGGTGCATTTCCCTATTTTTAGGCAGGTTATCTTCAATATTAAACTTTTTTTTCTACTCGTTATGCATGCACTGAAAGCACAAGGCATTGCACTTGCAGGATGCTGGTCATGAGAAATGAAATGTCCTTGCTTGGGCCAAACAAAGTCAAGGCTGTTTGAGGGTCCTCTCACACACACACACTCTTGTTTGGCATCCTGCATGCATGACAGTGTTGTCGCACCAGCGGCTGCATTTGTCTGTGTTTGAGTTTGGCATGCACACAAAGCATTGAAAGCACCTTCAAGTGTGCAGCTTCAGGTAAGAAGTGGCCTTCTGTCTGTGCATCTTTATGTGAGTGCATGCTTTCACCTCCTGCTGACTATTTTGGCATAACTGCACCATAAGATGCTGCCACTCACCGTGTCTTTAGTCCGAGCGCCTGAGCTCGGAGCTGCACCGTGGGCCTTAAATGGGCTTCATCTAGCCATGAGCTCCAGCAAAGAGACTCCACTTGTTGCTATGAGACAAACCAGCATAAAGCTGTGTGTGTGCTCGAGTGCATGGTGGCCTTGCTGATTGTAAGCCTGTGTTGTGGAGGAGGTGAGGAGAAGAGAAGGGAAAAAGAGAAGCAAAACAAGGCAGAAAAGAAAATGGGGGGAGACTTTTAAGAGGAGGATGCATTCTGTTGTTGGGCTTGTTTGTGGTGCGTCTGCTGAATACACTTGTGCTGTTTTGCTGCCGGCTGTTTGAGTCACGGAGTATTGTGTGATTTTTAGGACGTGAGATATGACCTGTGTGTTTACAACAGCCTGAAATTCAGTGGTCCGCTTGTGTGTGGCTCACTGAAAGGTGACGGGCTGCTTGTTTGTCCATAAGATGGCCATTCTGGCTCACCGTGCTGCAGTTTCTCTCTGCAGTCAGAGTGAAGTGTTTGGCGTGACAGAGTACGGAGCTCTCCTGTATTTGTTCACCCGAATCTTTTATGTTTAATATGACGTCATTCCTTCGCAAAAAGCCGATTGTGTCCAATCTCTGCTCTCTGGCTCTTTCTTACAGAGGAGTGGGCTCACACCTTTTCACCCAAGGAGGAGTATTTCAGCGTTCTCCTTTCATCCTTGCGTTTTCATGATGCTCCATGCACACAGACCTCTCCCACCCACTCAGCAGCAGTTTCCCAATCAGTTCCAAAGCTGGCCGGGTAATTTACAGAGAAAGCGTAAATTTACGTCAAACACGTCCTAAGGAACAGGGGCGTGCGAACGAGCAGCTGACCTTTTTTTATTTAAAACTTGACATGAGTCTTGACTGGTTTACGTCATTATTTCAGATTGTTTTTGGATCGGCGCTTCAGTTACCTTGTCCTCAGTTGTTACTGATTTTGGCCACTTATATCTAATTATTCAGGTTTTCTGTGGGCTGTTTCACTGATCACAGAACAGTTTCTCAGTCTGCTGTGGACTGCTGCCACTGACTGCGTGATGCAGCTGATTTGCATAATTTGATGCATACAAAACATGTTAAAGATGTTCATATATTAGTGTATTTAAATTATTATTATTATTATTATTATTATTATGTTTTTACATTATAATATGATTTATATTTAAATAGATTAGTAATATATTGTAACATTTTATTATATAAATGATATTTATTATTAAGTTATTAGTAAGTTATATTAGTATTATCATTGTCATAAATGTTCAAATAATTCATAATAAAACCTTATATAATAATTATTGTTGTTAATAATAATTATTAGTATGGTATTATAAATCGTAATTATATTTACATTTAAATGTATTAGAAATATATTTTATTTTTAACATCTTTATGATAATAATAT